GGAATAATTGCACCCAAATTCCATTCCCACAATTAGTGCCTTCATAGCTTGAAGGACAATGCTCTAATTACAACCATGTATTTTGTCTATCTTGCTTCTAATTTGAAAATGCTTTGACTTCTCTTTAAAGCCTTGCCTGCATTAGTTTCCACGGTACTTTCTCGAACTGCATATCTACACATGCACCTTTACCCTAAGTGATGAATAATAAAATTCAGTGGAAGAGTCAGGCCTTCTGGCCTTTTGCCAAAGGAGCACTGGCCGCCCCAGTTCACACTTTCTCTTTACCTCTGTCTTAAGTTTTTCTTCAATCTTTCATCACACACTGGGCAGGTGGGGACTAGAGACTTACTGTAGGAGTCTCTGGCACAAGATGGTCTTACACAAACAAGAGTTAAAGTGCAAAAGATCTAAACTATAATGAGAGTAAACAAAATTATGGGAAAAGAAGAATAGAGAAGGCCTCTCAAGCAAAATTAAGTAACAGGAAAGTACAACACATAATAAAATAATTAGTCTGTTCAACATTGAAAGTTTTTGCACAAAAAGGTGTCCTCTTTGCTGGATTCTCCTCATCCACATTGGCATTTGAGCAGTGTGGGATTTGGCTTAGGGGGAAGTTCCCAGACCTTCTTGCCCAGGGTCTGAGCCCACAATAGGGGCTATTTTAATTGATCCTTGGAACCCACTGCTGGGGTGAAAGTTTGGATCTTGTTTGGATCTGGGTCCCAAGCACACTGCCCCAGTGACACTGGTCCTGATGCCGTGAGTTATAGCCCCAGTCATTGAGTCATTGCAGTTATACTTTCCTTTGCCTGCTGGGCCACTGACCTGAAGAACAAAAAGTCAGGTAGAAATCACAGCTTCTATTGAATGGGGCATTTGTGGTGACCCCAGAAAGAACTGTCAACATTCAAACTTCTATGCCTTAGGACACACAATCACAGAGAGCAAGGCTTCATTAATGTAAAGCACAAAATATGTATTTGGATCACTGGGTGTAATGAAAGGAGCCACACCTACATCTTCTATTCTTAGCATCACATATGCTGGGGACAGGTGGCACTGTGTGTCATTGGTTCTGAGCTCACATGTCCTCATGGGAGGACACTGTCTGTATCTCATTGTGTTCTTCCAGCCAGCAGCATAGCTGAACTCCTATTTATGACTCACTCATTCATTTTGTGGTACTGGGGACTGAATCCAAGGATCAGTGAGCTACATCTCCTGGACCCTCCTCCTTTTCTTTTCTGTTTTCTTTCTTAAATTTTGAGACAGGATCTCAGTAAATTGCCCAGCCTGGCCTCCAAGTTGCAACTCAGCTCTGACTCAGCCACCCAATCAGCTGAGATTATAGGCATGTGCTGCATTGAGACACACATAAGAAACCTTAGTTTAACATCAATTATAGTTTAAAAGAACCATAAATTATTACCATATTTTATTATTGCCTTTACAAAAATGTTACAAATGTCACAAAGACTGCATTTAGTAAAAAATGAGAAAATATTTTAAAAGAGTAATAAATGGCAGGTGTAACATATTTTTTCCATGTACTCAAATTTTCACCTTGTTAAAATGGAGTAAATTGTGACAATACAATTTTCCCTTTGGCCAATGATGCCCCCTAAAAATGTGCCAACCTGGGTGGACTCCCACACACACACTAGCTATGCCCCTGCAGTTAACAGCCTTTAACAGGCCCAGTCATCATTGTATTAAGCCAGTTATTTCAGGATGATGAGTGGATTAGAAAATCCAATGATTGCACAGCCACAAGCTCATTGTCAAAACTCCTCTGTAGGAAAATGAGTCTCCTTCTGAGGCAGGATGGTGTGGAATACACTGGTGAATAGGCATTCTACAAGTCTTTGTTCATTAGTACTAGATACAGTTATGAGCAGGGATGGCAGTCCAGTATGCAGAGTAGTGTTGACTCTAATAAAGACAAAATGTCACTCCATGATAAATGGCACCAAGCCAATACTTGAGTGCCAATCTCTGCTACCACCAGTGCCAGCCTTCAGTTGTGGCAACAACTGTCAGAATTGATAAGGTCCTTTGCTGTGGACCCTACATAGCTTTTACCTCTACTATTGTGTACATGGCCCTTGCACAAAAACCAGGTTGGTGATGAAAGAGGCTGCCTGATAGCCAAAAGCCATGTCATTGTATTCATCTGCGTATTAAGAGTCTCTGGAGTGCAGAGCTTCTGGTGGACTTCAGGGAAGACAGAAATATCTGCTCTCTGCACGCTTACACACTTCCTCAGACATTCACTTTGGAACCTTCCAGGTCAGCCAGGCCATTTGCCACTGCCAGGAAGTCAACATATATCTCCACCTCAAATCACTTTTCTTTTTGTATGAATGGACAACAGCCACTCTCAGAGTACTGTATTTGATGGACTTGCTCTCACGCTGACTTGAGGGACACTGGCAAATACAACTGTTAAGAGGCAGCAATGCCCAGGTACATGTCTGTAATCCCAGCACTCTTGGAGACTAGGCAGGAGTTTCACGAGTGCAAACCCGGGTAAATTGAGCAGCACCTTCTCTCACAATTAAATAAAAGGGCTAAGGATGTAGCTCAGTGTGAAGGCCCTGGTTAATTCCCCAGTACCACAAATGAATAAATGATTGAATGAATTAATGAATTAATGAGTGAATGAATAAAATAAAGTAACCATCTGCCTGACTGTATGGAATGTATCTAATAGGGAGTAGGCTCCACCTAAATGGGGCTGCCAGAGAATGAAAAAATAGTGTCTTTAATGAGGATGCTACAAACAGCATGGAAAATTGGGAATGACCTACAAAGGTGGCTCTGGATGCTTGTTGATACGTGCCATGTTGATGGGAATTTTTATGGCTTGGAAGCCTTCTCATATTATATTACTGTTATCACTCATAGGATCACCAGTTTACCCTATAATATTCAGGGCAAATTGTCAATGGGCACCATTAGATGAAACCAAAGGTCTCCTGCTTTACCTGGGGATGTTGGGGTGGATATACCTGGCAATAGATGGTAGGTGACACATATTTGCAAGTCTGAAGAAAGATGAATTGATTCCCAAATTTACCCAGTTGTTTCTAAGGAGGCTCTCCACAAATATAAATCCCCTTTACTGGCAATGATGGCTAAAAAAAAAAAAAAACTTGAAGAGACCACACTTACCCTGGATTTCATAGTAACACTTTTTTTTTGGCATGGTATGGTGGCACATGCCTGTATTCCCAGCTCTTGGTAAGATGAAACAGGAAGATCACCATGAGTTCTGGGCAAGCCTGCCTTACACAGTGAGTACAAGATCAGCCTAAACTATGTAGTGAGACCCTGTCTCAAAAATCTCACATACAATAGCTTCTCAGCCTTTTGGCTAAGATCAAGTGTAAAAATCACACACACACACACACACACACACACACACTTACTCTCTATATAGAGACTCTTAAAAGACAAACTCAGAAGCAGGTACTGCCTCTTTTCAAGCAACACCGGACCTGACCTATATCAAACTAGAATCAACAGAATGACTCTCTCTCTTCCCCCAGGATAAACAACCTACAAATGTGTTCATGCTTAAATATGAACCCTAAGATGAACCACAGAGGTTATACCAGAAACCTAAGGGACAAAAGGGTCCATAATTGAGTGATTTCTGGGAAACTGTTTGGAGCAATTACAATACTTAGTATGGTTAGATTACAATCTCCACCAGTGCCAGGTATCCACATCCATGCCTACAAAGGGGCCCAATAGTCATGGAGGCAGGCGCCTGGCAGACCACACAGTGCTTTGGGCTCCAAAAAGTAGATAATACTGGCTGGTTCTGTTGAACACCAATGGTCAAATCCCCATAATTCCAGGGAGCATTCATATTTAAAAGGGCCTCTCCAGGAGATAACAGTATTGAAAAGAGGATTAATGGGGGTAATTAACCACAAGCATTAAATTGACCCAGTGTTGCTAAGGGACGCTTGTGTCCTTGTTGTATCCCGCTATTGGATTAACTTCTGAGCAGAAAACCTCAGGAGAGAGCACCTAAAGCTCTCACACTGTTGGTGGGTGCTACCTGATGAGAACAGTTAGCCTTTACCTACCCGGTACAGGTGGCAAATACACCACAGTACTGGCTTAGGCTAGGCACTGAAGGGTGACAGCCTGTCAGAGCTGACTCAGGTAACAAGGGTGTCTTAGATACTTTGTCACTGCTGAGACACAATACCCTACACCCACAACGTAAAGGAGTAAAGGTTTATAGAGGTTTCAGCCCATAGTTGGCTGGCTCAAAGGCAGGGTGGCAGAAGGGCTATAGTTAATGGCACAGCAGGCAGGAATAAGGGGGAGAATAGGGACATATATATATATATATATATGCAATCTAGGCCATGCCCACAGTTACCCACTTTTTCACCTGCTAACATCATACCCAGCTATAAACCCATCAGTAGACTAATACAGTTATGAGTATCCCACACCCAGGATCCAATCACCTCCCCAAAGCCCCATGATGAGCACATAAAGCTAAGGCGGAAGGGGGCAGTGAGATACAAACCATAACATAGGGTACTGATTCCCACCTAAACTTTTCGGTTCCCTGGTATGGTCTTTGGTTAAGGCCATTAGTAATGAATAGAGGCTAACCATAGCCTGTAGAAAGTTAAATCTGTTCTCTTTAGTATAGCACCTTTAGTAGATATTATCACCTTAACTGATAATATTCAAAAACATGTGGGTAAAATGGTTGGGAGTTACAGGATTGAATAACATATTCTGTTGGGTAAATTTTTGCTGAAGTCATGCCCAGTTGGCCTTACCCACTGAGGGCCAACAGCACACCTCTAGCTCATCACGTATAGGGTACTTTAAAAACCCTTATACTACCAAGATATATTATGTAAAGGTACAAATTTCCAATGATGAAAGTCATATTGTATACCTAAAATGTACCAATAACATTAATTTTAAAAAGAAAAAACAACCCTTATACTTACACATAAGCTTTAGTGACTGGATTCCAATGCCTGTCCCACATTTTCACCAGAAACTCTGGGGAAAGTGATCATATAAGCATCATATTAGTGACATATAAGTGACATCCTCCTCACTTGTCTTCCATGATGGCACCTCAATGTAGGGATGGACAGTTACTCCATAGAAGGGATGAGCCCCTTCCCAGTCTGTTAAAAGTGTTCAACTATATCTGGAATTCAGAGGGATTATCTAGTCCCAATAAGGTAAATGACAAATTCCAGCCTCTTGCATCAGTAAAGGATCCAACTAACATTTGAATTCTGGCACTAGTACAGTCCTTGCTCCAATATTTGATGGCCCTTAAGTATTTAATCACCTATAACTAACTTTTCCACTTCTCATTTTTCAAAACTGAAGCTCTTATACTGTAATGGGGCAGACTCAATTTGCCCTATAAATTGTAAATCCTCTTATCCTCTAGATAACAGCAAAAAATCACTATAAAATTGAATCAGCTGCCAAGCATGGTGGTGCATGCTTGCAATCCCAGCATTCAGGAAGCTGAGGCAGGAGGATCACCACAATTTTGAGGCAAGCCTGGGCTACACAGTGAGTTCAAGGCCGGCCTGAGCTACATACTGAAACCATGTCTCAAAAAAAAAAAACAAAACTGAATCAGCAACACAGGCCTTATTAAAAGAGAAATGTATCTACAGTATCAAGGAGATATACTCACTCCTTCTACAATGTAAGAGTCCATCAGGAAATACCGCATACTCTGTCACTGAGGTTAACTTGCCCTCTGAAATGTCTTGAATGCACAAGCAAATGAACAGGAGGTTTTAGTCATTATTCATCTGTGAAACATAAACTGAAGTCTAACAAGATATAATCTGACACAGACTGCATTCATTAAAATTAGTAAGATGTACAATACCAAGTGTTTATGAGAGTGTAGAGCAAACTTAAGTCTTAAATATTCTCAAAGGGCATGACAACAGCACAGTCACTTTGCAAACACTTGGTATTTATTTATAAAGTTACAAATACAAAGAAAGAAAATTTTTTGGAGTGAAGAAATATCCTGTATCACTACTTTGGTGATAGTAATCAACTAATATATTTCTCAACTAATATATTTCTCATCAGATTATAAAAAGAAATGATGTCATACATATCTTCCACTGATAACTCTGTGATAAAGGCAGTTTTAAAAGGAACAAACATTGCTCTGTAGAGAGTCACAACTATGGCCTTTTCACCCACTGAGGAAGTAATGTAGTTCTCCAGCACCACATCCTGGTGATCTTCTGAGGATCCTCAGAGAGGACCCGTGTCCTGCCACTCCTCCTGGCTGAACTCCACACTCCTATCCATATATGACACTGAAGTGTGTAACACCACATTCTGATCAATCTGAGGGTTCAGAAACAAATGATGTGGAAAAATAAGGTTCAAATCTGTTATGTCTCTTGTTGAGAGTTAGTTGAAACAAAGTATTACAAAGGATGCCTACTTGTGTCTTCTACATTGGGGAAACCACAGAATAAATAGGAATAAATCATGCCAATTCACTTGTACTTTACCTACACACATTATAAATTATCAATTAATTCAGTACTTATAAAGCCTGGAGGTCGTGTGTGTGTGTGTGTGTTGCACTGGGATTTGAATCCAGGCACTCACATATGATAGGCAAGTACTCTAACCTTTGTAGATTTCCTTTAGATATTAAAAATAAGCTTCATATATTTTCTTTTATACTTCACTAAATGAAATATTTTATATAAGAAAAGTTAGAGCAGTGCTTCTTCAGTGAAAATTAACACTTAAAAAGACTCAGGATGCATCTTTATCCATTGTCCTAAGAATACTGCTTTATCTCTTGAAAAAGAATCCACAGAATGATCAAAAGGAAACGGTTGTGGACAAACCGCTGACATTTTTCAGCTACGTACCACACCAACTCACGACTGATTTCTTTGCTTTCAATGCGGGCGGTTACCCAGACCTCACAGGAACGTGTGCTGGTATGTGTCCCTGGCAGCTGGCTGAGCACGTCATCTGTGGCACCGTACCGCTGAAACATGACCCGCTCATCCCTGGTTCCAGGTGACAGGGTTGGGGTTTACTGGCGTCTTCCTGGCAACAAGCTTAGGCTGTCACTGCAGCCCTGCCACAGACACTTACTGGCGGTTCGTGATCAACCTCAGGATCACAAACTCCGCATGCCTGCCCACCACACTTGGCTAGGCTCTCATCTGCTATAGGCTAGTCTGTCCGTCCTTGAAAGACAGCGAGGGAGAGGAGAAAGAGAGCAATTCTTGAAAGAGGGGGAGAGGGGGAGAGGGGGAGAGGGCGGGAGGGAAAGAGGGAGAGAGTTTGTCTGTGTGCATGCGTGTGTTCTCGTTCCCACACCTGCAGGAGACCGCCTTGCTGCAGCGCAGGTTAGGAGCCCTGTGGAGGACAAGTCCTGTGCCGCTCTCACACTCAAAATGGCTGCCTATGTGGTCTGGAAAGTTCCGGGATGCTCTTCCCATGAGGCCAGGTGTCAGAGGCGGAGAAGGCGGGACTGGGAACGCACTTGCGCAGAGGAGACTAAAAACAGTCACGAGTGTTGGGGGGGCAGGCCATTTGCCTCCATAATTTGCAGGGTTCTGGACATAACCTCACAAGGTTTCTTCTGCAGACATTTGGAAGACTTTGCTGATGTTCTGTCCTTAGGGTCTGTCAGATTCCTTCAGACTTTCTGAGTTAAAGTTTGCCTTTGTTGCCCAGTGCTGTGGTTAGTGTTCGGCCTATTCCTGAGGGAAAACCAAGTTCCATGGACCTTGAGGTGGTTCGCTCAGGAGCTGTAGGGTGCGAGCGCGTGACCTCTGTCCTCCTCTGTCCCATGAGGGAACTTTCACCTTCGCCCAAGAGATGCAGGACCTAAACCTATCGCTGGTGAGTTCTTTATTCCTTCTCCACTTTGTGTTACAATGGATTTAGGAATGTTATAAGGGGCCCATATATTAAATGGAAGCACAGAAATAGATAGAATCAAGTTAGGCTTTAGGGATCCCCTATACTGTTTAACCATGAATGCTAATGTCCATTGTTTATTGGTAGACGTCTTTATCAGTGTCAGTAAAGGCCTTTTGTTTACAGTTTGTTACTATCTTATTTTACTTACGCATGTGCAAAATCATGTTGTAGTCAATGAAATGGATGTGGCATTTTGTGCCATCATACTACGCCAAATACTGCAAGTTGAGAAAACATATACTTAACCTTTTAGTGCTTCTGCTTCTGCACACCAACTGATTTCTTTTAATAATTTGGACATGTTCATGTGGCTGTACGTTATACCTTGAGCACTTCTGCTAACACCTGTGTTTCGAAATATCTGCCTAACATCCTTTATCACTTTTACTTGAACATTTCTCTTAACCTTCCATTTTAGTTAAAAAGGGGAGATCAATTGTGACTCTCTTCTGAGCTCCTTCCTACTCTTAAGAATGGTTAATACATATTTGTGTGGATGATGCAATAGGCTATAGTTAGAAGTGAAGTGCAGTTTTTATTTTGTTAAATACTGTGTAATTAGCCTCCGTAGTAATTGTAACATTCGTATTCTCACAGGCAAATTATGTTTATTTTTATTGATTTATTGGGCACCTACTAAGTACATACAGTATTCTGGTTACTAGTTGAACACAGTAGAAAAATTTTTTGCTCTGAATTAGCTTATACTCAGGTGAGGGGATATAAACAATAAACATTAAAAAAAGATTAGTAGAAAATGGAGCACAGCAATATAATAAAAATTAACTTTACTAAAGGAGAGAGAGAAAATGGGAGGCAGAAGCAAGCATACTTTTCAAAGAAGAAGCAACATTGAAAAAACAGCAAAATATAATGTTCATGCAAATGATCGTGAAGATAAAAATCATGTATCTCCTGGATATGAGTTAGTTTAAAACTTCAAAAACTGATGTTATTGAAGGATATTTGATTAAGAGATAGTTTCACAAGTGGAGAGACTAAAAATTTCTTACCAAAATGCATGTAACTGTATCAAAATCATTTGTTTTCCTTCTTTTTACCATTTTAGTTTTTGTTTGATAACCAAGAATGAGTATTTTATATCTTACGTGATTAGAAATTTGTTGAAAAATAACATCAAATATATAAGTTAAAACTGGAAGTACACATGTTCAGGTGTAGAATAACAGTACTTGAGAATCTTACTATGAGAGATTCTCAAGGTCATGCCAAAGTAGAGGAAAGAGTAGAAAGTCCAATAAACCTCCTTAGGACTTGGTAGCGAGCATGTAGAATAAAAGTATGGCTACATCTGTTGCTCAATATTAAAAAATAAACAACTTGTATAGGATTTGAGATCCAATCATTTCAAATAAAAATTCTAAATTCCCCAAGAAAATACACATTTTATACATAAGACTACATAAATGTAGCACTCTCAGCTGCTTTCCCAGTAAATATTCACTCCACATGCCCTCTTGAAATGCAGACCTTGATCCTCATCGGCCAGAGGACTACCAACACTTTCATTTGATTTTTGATTATGTATAAGTTTTAAGTTTGTGCACAGTCAGATTTATCAGGCTTTTTTTCCTTTGGTTTTTGAGACTGACATCATATTTTGAAAGGCAGTTTCACTTTAATTGATTTTTCATGTATTTATATACTTTAGCATTTAAGTCTTTGAATATCTGTAATTTATTTTGGAATAAAAAATGAAACAGAGATGCAGATTTTTTCTCAAAATTTATTATTACCCAGGCTATCACATAATTTAGTAGCCCATTTTAAATAAATTGAAACATAATGTTAAATGAAATAAATCAGACATACAAGCTTAAATACCATATGGTTTCTTACTTATGAGAAATCCAAAGAACAAATAAAGTAAAGAGAAAAATAAAAGATAGATGAAAGCAAACAGAGAGATAAATCTTTTGCAAATGGGAAAAGGACAAGCAGATGGAGGGAAGCAGAGAGGAGGGAAGACAGGGGGATTAAGAATTAAAGTATATCATGTACATGTATTGAATACCCACAATGAAATAGTGTGTATCACAAATATGTACTAATAAATTTATTTCTTACCATTTTTGTTAGTACATGCTTGTAGTTCATAATGTTTACATTCATTGTGAGAAATTAGTTCATGTACAAATTTCTTTTTTTCATTCTTCTTCCCTTCTCTCACTCTTCCCTTCATCCATCTTGTGATTCCTTTCCTTTTTTTTTTTTAACCTGTTTGCAATAGATGTTTGCACTCCTGTGTGGAGCTGGTACATGTACATAACACATCTTAATTCTTTTTTTAATCTGCTTTCTTTCCCCTCCTTCCTCCTTCCCTCATCTTTTGATTTCCATCACCTTTGGGAAAGATCTATCTCCCTACTTCCAATTGTCTTTTATTTTGCTCTTTATCTATACTTGAGGTTTTCTAGTAAGTTTTTTAAAAATAAAAAAATCAGTCTTTCTGCAACATAAATAAACAACAAGAAACTCACCAAATGAAGAAGTCCACTCATGTTAAGTGTAAGTAGACTTACAAGTGTAAAAAAAATTTTTATGTCTTCCTGTTGTCTTCCCTGATCTATCATTTTACCCTGCACCACACAGTGTTAACTACTGTGTTAGCTTCTTGTTGGTGGGATAAAATATCTGACATACACAAAAAGGAAAAGTTTCTTTTGGCTCATGATTCCAGAGGTTTCATTTCATGGTCAGCTGGCTCCAAGGCAGATACATCATGGTAGGAGAGCATAACAGTGGAAAACTATTCACCTCTTAACAGCCAGGAAGCAGAGTACTGGGTGAGTTCAAGAAAAGTTACACCCTTCAAAGTTATAGCCCTGGGATCTACTTCTTCCAACTAGGCCCGCCTTTTAATAGTCCCATCAGC